AGAGAAGTGTGGGATAAGACCAATCAGAGTGAAAAACAGAATCTGAATCATCAAATCCCACTTACTGCCACATCTCTTCAGATGGCAAAATCCCTCAGGAGGGTATGTGTGAAGGATGCTGTTGTAAGTAAAAATCTGGGAACTTTTTGCTGCATGGACTGATCTGTTCTTGCATTCTTTAGAATTACACACGTGCTAGTAAAAAGAGATGTCGTTGTGCTAAGTTACCGTTAAAGGGACTTGGTAACGTGACATTTGTGGTGGGGTGGAGATGACGTTTTCTGTTGCTCTTTGTTGCTGCAGACATACTGGTATCAATGGAGCTGTGAGTATTTTTATTAGCTAAAGTTCTTCACCATCATTTCTAGAGTGGCTGGTTTCTTGCAGAGTTTCAGGTGTTCTGTTTCTCAGCAGCACACAGATTCCTATTCTGTCTTCTCCTTGGCTGGGTGGAAATTACTGCTGGGCCTGTAATGCTGGCATGAGCAGGTGTTCAGTTCCCCTTTTTTATGAGCAAAAAGAAAATCTGCTTTAAAAAGGTCAATGAAAATGAAAAATGTGTATTCCTACTTGCTAACTAAGAAATGAAGTAGGTTGCGTGCAGAGAAAAACACTTCCCTTTTTGAGCAGAGATGTAAATTTACTCATGTTGACCAAAGCTCTGTGTATTTAATCTTTTGCAGTTTTTCTCTGAGCAGTCTTTTTGAAGACGATGAAATTAATCTTGTGAGTAAAGCTGATACTGCAGCTGGTCCCAGGTGGCTTTTCCTCTCTCATTGCAAATTTACACCCCAAAAATTAGGATATAAAATCCTTCAGAACACAGTTGCAGGATCAATTAATCTTTAAAAAAAAAAAATTACTACTTATAGTAGGAATTCTTAAAGTAGGTAATTTTCCTCCTCATTGGATTAATAATAAATAAGCTACTACTAGTTTGAATTTTCTTGTGCCTTCCAAGAGTTTTACTGCCACATTTTCCCATTTTCTGAAGTACTTTTCTACCATGTTGTGGTTGTGCAAAAAAAGCAGGAGGCATTGATTGTGCAAGAAAATCTGATCAGTTGGACCACGTGCCACCCACAACCCTGCTAAAGCCATTGCCTTTGAGAATATAATTTTAGCAGAATTGGAGCCTAAACATAGCAAACACACAGGGGCCCAAACTATTATTTTATGTACATTATAAAATCTGAACTGTACTTTATTCCTAACAACTGCAGGCAAAACTTTTCCAGGCTGAATCTTTTGAGATGGAAAGGTAGCTGTAAGATTAGTGGTGCAGAACGAGACCTACTGTGTGGGCAAGGCTGAGAATAAGAAAAACTTCCCCTGTGCACTCAGAATGCCTAAGGAAAGCCTGTTTTAAAGTCTTCCGTGTCTCATTTTCTCCTTTTTTATTGTACCCTAGAGATGGATAAATATAGTAGGTTATGCCCTCAGCTGGAGTAAAAAAAATGTAGGTGTCAATTCTGGGGAAGTGGTGACTTCAGTGTCGAAGTGTTGTGCTCCAGGAATGCGCATCGGATAAAACTGTAAATACGTGTGTGCAGCACCTATAAATGAATTGTAGTTCTCTCTGCTGCTTTACACTTTGCTACTTGTTCCTCCAAACTTTGGAAATGTTCTGCACAATAACCTGTGTGCTTGAGTAAGTCAGTGTGTGTAGAAGTGGCCATCGGCTGGGCAGCTGTCTGGATGAGCCCTGACAAGAGCCTGACAGCTCTTCGGTCATCTTGGCATACTGTGAAGCTCCTTGTGCTTTTGGTAAGAAAGGAATTTTCTCTGTAGTCCCTTTCTCAGTCTAAGCATGAAAAAAAGGAGGGAGGAACACAGGATGCTGTGCTAGAGCAAGCTCTTCGTTGTCCTCCAGAAAAGAGCCAGAATTTCCTGCACATGGCTGTGGTTTCGCAGCTTGCTGGAGCCAGGCCGGCGGAAGGCTGTGCTGGAAGGATTAGCCTCTGCTGCCCGGGAGGAGTGGGCAATGCTGGTGTCAGACAGCTCTGTCCAGATAGTAAAGGTGGTTGGGTTAAACACATTCAGTCTGTCTGTGATGAACGTTGAAATGACCGTTGACTTTCCAAGTTCCTCTTCACGCTGAGTCCTCATGATTAATGGAAGTGTGGGGATTCCCTAAAGGTTTGTTTTTCCACTTTTGTGTTCTCTTTGTCTTCCTTGTCCTGACCTCTAAGGGTTTCTAGTATTAGAGTGGTTCAAACTCCTAACCCAGAGCCAGATGCAACTTTTCCTGATGGCTTCTCTACCATAGCTCGCTCTACGTGTAGACCGTGCTTGGTCCCGCTCTTGGAACCTGGGCGCTTTGCTAATTTTACTTTTAAAATGCTTTTTGTATATTGCTACTGTCAAGATGAACAAGTCTTTCGTCTGCCCGTTTCTGTTTGGCCTTTTGTAGCATTCTTTGTCTTTTCCCCGAGTACTTGCAGCCCACTTGTGTCTCGACCTCTGCCTGGTGCTGTTGTCCTCATTAACAGTTTCTGTAAGGCTCCAGTTGGTTGCACAATCTATCTGCACATAGCATTTGCTAATTATTTGTCCGTGGTCTTACAGTCTGTAGCTACTGACATCTCAGAAGTAGGATAATTAACAGTTCTCAGCAGTTCCCATTCAAGGCTTCAGCATTCTCTCTTCTTCATGGCTTCTTTCAGGCTTCATTTTTGTTCAAGTCTTGTAATGGTCGAGACCAGGGACTAAATCAGGTTGACGTTTTGCCTGTTTGACAAAAGTAGATCATCTCCTTAAATTATTTTTTATTTTATAATTTTAAATATCAGTATCTTAGTTTGCATAGCTCCTATGTACTCAGTCTGCATATGTTTTTTCTTTTTTTGAGGAAGTAATGGACATGTAACTTGCGATATTATTGGTGCTGTTGCTTAATACGCATGCTTAAGCCTACAAAACAAAGAGTTTTCCTTATCCTTTAAAGGACTTCACTGCTAGCATTTGAAATTAAGGTTTTTTTTTTATTTCCCTCCATGAAAAAGTTTTCTCTTTTTTTTTTAATAATTCAGTTTCAAAAATTGAATCGTTCAGAAAACTCAGGGGTTTTTTTAGAGTATTTTGTCTGGAAGGATAAATATCTAAGCATATTTAATTCATGCCTGTTTAATTATGTTAAGTGTTCTTCATGCTTTTTGTGGCAAATTATTTTTGACCTTTCCATTTTATTAAAATATAGTATAAAATATATTGAATTTAGTTGAAATTCAGTTCTAATATATAGGTAAAGTGGTTACCTTATCCTATGTTATAATGCACATATACATAAAATCCTGTGTAAATAAAAAATAAAACCATTAAATACTGGCAAACCAAAATATCATGAAGAATCTTCACTCTAAATGTTTTTTACAATTTTTCATTGCATGCACGGAAAAAAATAAATAGAAGAAGTTACGCTTTTTGTTTCAATTTGTAACAAATTCATATTCTGATATGTCAGCATTCTTCCTGAAATAGAACGTTTGTTTTTGGTAAACTCTGTGGTCAGCGAAGGTTTTTAATGATAGATCTATTCTGCGTTATTGCCTAGAGATCTACCGGAGGAGCAATTGATTCTCATTAGTACATAAATAAATAACGTAATACATATATAGAAAAGCATTACTCCATTTAATTTGCAGGAATCAGTCCAAATTGATCTCACTGAGACAGCAGTATCTGACCTTGAGATTAAACCTGGTTTTGGTACAGCGCAACATTTTAACTTCTAGTGTTCTTGGGGCAGCTGAACCAGTGTCAGGAGATGAAATGCGTTCTCTGGTGGGGATTTTGAGCACTTGCCTGAAAAGGTGATGGGGAGTAAAATTTGTTGAATGACGCTTTAATTTGCAATAAGTATGTGGGTTTTAGCTAGTGAAGAACCTCACCTTTGTATTTTTTCTTTTTTCCTCTTTTTCCTCTTTTTTCTCTTTCTTTTTTTCTCTTTTTCTTTTTTCTCTTTTTCTTTTTTCTCTTTTTCTTTTTTCTCTTTTTCCCCTCTTTTTCCTTTTTTCTTTTTCTTCTTTTTTTCACATGGATTTATAGAGTATTCTATAATTTTCACCAATTGTGTAAAGCATTTTGAATTGTAAGTAAAAATTGCCATTGGCAGCAATGGGAGAGGTGGAAAAGCCAAAGGGCATCCCTACCCACTCAGATATTTCAAACTGATGTCACCTTGTTAAGACATGCATATTTACGTCACTGTAGGTGCTTTTATATTTTTTGATACTGAACCTTTTGACCTTTGGGAGTGTTGAACTATTCCTTCACTGGCTACGAACCTGGCTTCACGCTGAGAATTTCTGGCAGCTGTGCTCAATACAGACAAAACCGGGTGATTGCTGGGAGTGATTATTGCAACATTCATGTCGTTGCTGCGAACAGTCTGTGCATGTGTCTGCACGTCAGTGCGTTACACTCTTCTCTCTCTTTTAATATCACTGAAAGAGCTAAGATGTTATTTGAATTGCTTTGGGGCCAGCTGAGAAACAGGACAAGAAGGTAGAGTATGGAAAAACCCCACCCCTCCTCGTCAAATGTCAACCCATCTTACTCTGCTCCCGGTGATTAATAGCAAAGGCAAATGTGCTACAGACATTAAAGATCTGACCAAAACCTAACTGAAATAATTGCACAGTCTTTGGGTTGGACATCATTTTGTACGAGGTTAATGCTTTGTAAGGTTTTGATGCGGTGTTCTACATTCACAGCAAGGTCTTTATGTCACCGCTTTCTGGGAAGACCAGCTGGTTGTAATGAAAGTCGTAGATTTGAGCAGAGTTTCCCTCACTCTGATGAGGCTGCGAGAGAAGTTAGCCAGGGTCGTAAAATTCAGAAGAATACAATGAGTGTGGCCTTATTGGTTTAAGTCTTGGCTGGGAGATATGAAGCACTGATAGAAACTAATGATTCTGTGTGTAACTTTTGTTTATTGCAGGCTGCAAACAGTTACCTGAGGGATCAGTGGTTCCATTCTTTGCAGTGGAAGGTAAGTTCTGCACTTCACCGCCTTCCTTGTCTGCCTTAGAGAATGCTAAAAAGTATTCTTAATTCTGTTCGTTGTAAGAGCTCTGAATAGGGATAAAGTCATCATCTTGCAGAAACCCTAAATCAGAACATGCGTGCAGTTTCACTTGTTCATATCATGAATGAAATAAACAAATTAAGTTGTTAGATAGCTCAGCTTTATCAGTGTAAGATGGGCTTCGAAAAGTAGAAAGCCGGTAAGTTCACATTTAAACAGGGTAGAGATTAGATGGTTTCTGTTTCATACTATGAGGTGTAATACCTTACAGAGTGACTACAGCCTAGTCGTATGCTCTGGACTCTTAGGATCCTTGGTGGTTTTGTTTGGTTGGTTTTGCCTTTTTTTTTTTTCCCCTGAAAAACTAAGAGAAAAAGGATGTCTTTTACAGTTACTTATTATGAGTAGCATCAGTCTGTTTTTGTGCTTTAAGGTGACCTGGATTTAAAGGCAGTTTCCATTTCAGAGGTCTCAAGCCCTTTCTCATTTTCAGTGGGAACTGCAGGCTGATTGCTCCGAGTAGGGGAAGTGGATCACAGTGACAGCAGTGTCTCTCAGAAGCAGCATGTTCTTCATCAAAAACTGTAGCTGCTGACCTTTGCATGTAATCTGTATGGATCTTTGGTGCAGCTGGAAACAAGTTTTGGCCAGGTGCTGAACATGGTTGTCCTCTGTTGTCTTGCGCTGGGAAACACAAGCAGTAGCTTTTCAGCTCAAGACTTGTCTTCGGCAAAGTTTTCAGTGAAGTCAGCCAGGTTGGCTGGGGAGCTTATCAAGATTTCAGCCTGCTGACAGCAACCACACGTGAAAATATAAGGAAGTCCCTCCCACCAAGCTGGTTTTCTTGTAGGCATGTTTAATAGTTGCAAAATAGTTGTGTGGCAAGACTAGAGTTTTCGTGTGCTTTGTGTAGCGGTCAGCGTCTGGCAGGATCGTATTGGGAGCAGATCCAGGTTCTTATCAGTAAGAGCCAAGTGTCGAGATCTCCTTTTCCAGACCACTGGCACATTCTCCAGCCTGTTACCCTGATTGCCCACATGAGTGTGGGACAGCAGTGCTGATAACAGAAGGCTGGGCAGTGGTGGGGCACTTTATTTTGGCTCCTTGACAATATCATTAACACAGTGCCTAGCCAGTCTTGATTTCTTTGCAACTCCTGAGGATAACAAAGAGCTTAAAGCGTGCAGAGACGGTATCGCCATGTGGCCGTTATTTTCCTTCCTGCTTTTGCAGGCAAGGATGATTAGAGAAAGCATGAGCGGTAATAATGATGGAAATGTTTTGGGTTTTTTTACCTCTCCCCCAGGTAGCATGTGCTGGTGACATCTGCCCCTCCTGCAGTGAGGGGAAAATTAGGGTCAGAGATGCAATTTTGGGAAAAAAAAAAAGAGTGGTAAAGGTGCAACCTGGTCCCACCACCACCCACCCCATCAATTAAATTATGAAGGGGGCGAGGGTGAAGCCTGGCAGAATGACCTGGCTTGCTCACATGCCTTTTGGTCATGGAGAGGGAGCTTTGCTCTGTGGGAGGTTTTTTTAAAGGAGTATTTCTTAAACTTTCCAATGCTTCTGACCAAGCCTCTCATTTTGGGAAACTCTGAGTAATTTAACTTGTTGCAAAGTAGAATTTATTTTTGCTTCCTTGCTTCCCTCCCCACCCCCATTAAGTTCATTTCTGAAAAACAAGTGAAACATTATCTTGATTTGAAAGACCTTTCCTTTACCAAGAATAGCAAGTAGCTTTTTCCCATAAGAACAGTGACAGGATTTAGTCACTGCCCAGGTGCTTCACACTAACAAATTCCTCTTTGTTAAAATAGAGAGAGTTGGTTGGGTTTTGTTGCTTAAGAGTTGGGAAGAAGAGCACCTGGTAACTTTCTGCTCTTTGCTTTGGTTGATATTTGGCAGCTTTAAGTGAGATCACAACGGAACAGAGACACAGGGCAAGCAGTGCGTTTAGAGGAAGAGTGGAAGACCACTTATGTGTCTACCTTAGTGAAGTTCATCACGTCAGTAACACCATAGCCTATGACTTTAAGAGCCAGGTGCCAAGATTCGTCTCACTCTGTAATTTGTATGGTTTGATGATTAAGCAGGTAGTGAGGGAACCCACAAAAAAACCCAGGAAGCCTATTCTTCTGGAATGGGCCGTTTACACGAAGCACCAGCTGGCAGAGAGATCGCCGCAGCTGTATTATAATTGGGTGGTTGTGCTGATGAATGATATATTTGTCCAGTGGTCTTACAAATAGCAGGTCAAAACGTTGCTGCGGGCATGTAGAACACAGATTGAAACTGATGCAGAAAGCTGAAGCGGTTATTCACGGGAAAACGTTCAACAGAGATGAGCTTGCTATTGTTTGTACTCATGTGGTGGAACCGTTTAGAGGGTCCAGCTGAACGCAGAGCCCCACTGTACGAGGCACTAGATGAAGGTGGAGCTTCACTTCCCCTGCCCAAACAAGACTGAGGAGGAAACTTCATTTTACAGATGGCAAACTGATATTCTGAGATTTTCCAGCAGTGGGGATTACCCCCTCTTAAATTACAGTTGTGGGAGCAGATTCATATCATGTCAGTGTCCTTCTGGCTCCTTTTCCTGTGCCTCAAGCCTGAGGAGTCAGGTGCTACATGTCATCTGAGCTACATGGAAAATGTCTGGGTCCAGTGAATAGCTGTGGTGTTAGATATTTGGAGGAGCTCTTTCCGTTCCAGCACATACTGGTTATCCTTTGGTCTTTTGTGAAGGGGCTCAGGTAGGTCTGTGGGAGAGCTTTTATGTGGTGCGGTTTTAAAGATTAACACACTATGGGAATTCAATTTGCCAGCCAGCACCTTGGAAATAGTTTTTCTTCTGGAGACAAACATTGAAATGTAAATCAAGAATAATTTCTTTCTGCAGCCCAGAGAATAATAAAAGAGATGCTACAGATAAACAGAAATAACAGAAGACCAAACACATAATTATCCATGTTTTAGATACAGCTCCAAGAGGTTTTATGTGTCATTCAACTAACTAGCTGTCAGGATGCTTGCACAGCTTTTTAGATGAGACTTTCTCCTTGGATACTGTGCTCCTGGAAGAGAGCATGGATGTAGGGACAGACTGTTGCTTATGCATTAATGTTCTATTTGAGTTTTCCATTTCACATGCCACCCCCTACCCCCCCCCTTCCCCCAAGGGTTATTCGTAATACCTTATTTAATCTGGATATCTGTGTATATCACAACTCCTGAAGGATTATTGGCCACCTCGGCCTATTTTTAGAAATCCCAATTTCCTTTGGGTTATAGCTAAGCCAAACTTTGTTAGTCCAGAAAATAAACAGAACATGTTAACAACTGTGCAGATCCTCAAACATAAACAAATCATTAATCCATTGTGTAAGAGATGTTTCTTTCAACCAGGGAGGTTGGATTGAAACCATGATAAGTTATCTTTTGGTATTTGGAAGCTGATAAGTCATAACAGTGTATCAATAAAGATAACAACACTTTCTGTGAATATACAGAAGAGAATAACACATACAGTTTGTTGCCCTGTCAGGATCTAGGCTGGATGCAGTGGTAACCAGTCGCTTCTGGGGGGGTTGAGTACAGCCGAGCTTGGCTTGTGACTGGTAATTTTGGGACACACACAAATAAGCAAATACCTACCCTTGGCATTTTCCCAGGCAGTATCCATCTACTTTGCTGCTTTTTTGTATCTTGCCATCTTTGGGCTAAGGATTTTCTGTGTGTTTTTATAGTGCCAAGCACACAGAGGTACCATCGGCTGCAGAAAATGTTAAGCTCTGCTACACCACATGCTTGGAGTATTAGTCATTAAAAGACATGCTTGGCTAATTTAGTGCCATGTTGCAGTTGAACTAGAAAAGGCATCAGTGAGGTCTTTTCTTGTGATACGGAGTACAGGCATGGATTTCAATTTGTTGAGGGGATTACACCTAAAGGTTGCACAGGGCATGTTGCATTTTTTAGCGTGCTTGATGGTAAACTCTGAACGCTGCCCTCATTGTGGGATGTGGGTTGCTTGTGTTTTCTAGTTAGCTGAATGATGCAGCAATGAAACATGTCAGTTGACATCCTTTGGGGGAATGTCCTGAATTGACACAATACGGAGAGAACAGACCCAGGTCTGCGGTAGAGCATGAAGCATGACTCAAGCTGAGCCTTGTGCGCTTCTGACCTGGATCTTCTAGAAAGGCTTGCATATACCTTATCTTTCTTACTGGTGCTCTTAACCTCTCCTCCACTGTTCCCTAACAGTAGTACTGCTTTTTTAGGGGTTTTACCCATCCGTTAACGTGGACAGTGCAAATGTGTTAATTGTAGAAATATTGAGGTTGGAAGAGACCTTTGAATGTCATCTGGCCCTCTCCCCACCCACGCTGCCCTTTTCCTCACTCAATGCAGAGTTTCCTCTGAAGTTATACGAGCCTGTACAGCTGAGCTTTGAAGCCCCAAATCAGAGAATGTTCAGATGTGGTCTCACAAGTGCTGAGCGGAGGAGAGCCGTCCCCTTCCTCATCGTGCTCTCCAGGCTCAAGCTCGTACAGCCCCACATGTGTACGTACCCCGGCCTGCAGGCAACAGTCACATTACCTTTGTCTTAAAATTCGTTTTCTACACAGACACCATGTTTTAATTCCCATTAATTGGGAAACTGGAACAATGCTGTCATTTGGGACTTGCAAACATTTTGCATTGAACGCTAAAACAAGCAATGTTGGCCTTCGTTCAAGAACGTTAATTTTGGTTTAATACTTCCCTGGTTCTCATAGGGATTGGTGTATCTGTGTCTTCAGGAAATAGATATTTCCATGCAGAAGCAGCCCTATTAATTGCAACAAGATTGACTCTCATATAAGGTCATACTTGACCTGAATGCTGAAAGGCTCCCTGCTCTTTACTGTGTCCAGGTTATGAATTCCTTTGTCCGTTAGTACTGATTTTTTTTTTTA